ACGACGATTTCCGATGCTGACGATTGAAGTGACGTTTTCCGTCGGAGAAGATGAGAATTGATCAGGATTGCGTTTTAGACGCGACGCTTTCCGGCGGTGATGATCGAGATGGTGACTCCTCACGATGACGACTGAAGCGACACTACCGACGCTGACAATTGAGATGGATTTTTTTCAAGGTCACGATTTCTGGCCGTAACAGAGGCGAATGCGAAGGTGGTCGAAATGACACCAATAGCAACGAGCGACTCTCACTCAGAGAGGCAATACAAGCAGCAGAATGGATATTGCTGCTGTCTGGGACGATGACTGCCTCGCTCCTTCAAGCGCTCCAATACAGCTAAGTCCCCTCTCACTCTGCCCTTGTCATCATTACCGCTTCTGGTTCGCCCTTGTCCACTTTGTACCGCGCCTATTCCTCACAGCATATTTGGAAAAACAGAAGTTGGGTGAGAGATGAGCGGCGTTTGGCGATGGTAGCGCATGGCACTGGGGCGGCTTGAGCTCATACTAGAGTCGTAGGGGGTTAGAGTATGATGCATTCATAATCATGCTGCGTCCCTTCCTAATTTGCCTGCTAGCTCGGCGCCCTAGTGCTGTGTGCTACCATCGCCTCCCCTTTCACAGCGTCACAGTACCACGTGCTTTTTTCTTTAACTTCCGTTTCCTCTACTCATTGTTCTTGTTATCTCTGCCTCCGTGAATGCATTTCACTACTTCCTTGCTTCTACTGACTACTTAGGTTCTCTTGCTCATCTTTGCTGCACCCCTCTCGTCTGGTGCTATGGCAGCGTGGTGCGGGGAGGGAGGGCGGTGGGATGACGCACGAAAGGCGATCACAGCGGTGTGCGAGCCTCCTGGAAGCCTCACGCCACTGTCCTGCAAGCACCCCCATACGGCTAAGTTCCCTCTCCCTTCGCCCTTGCCATCCTTACCGCTTCTGCTTCGTGTTTATGATTCCCACTTTTGTACCGCATTCTTCCGTCACCGCGTGCTCGAAACAAATGAGCCCATTTTCGAATGGGAGCGATCAAAAGTTGAGTGAGAGATGAGCGGCGTTTGGCGATGGTAGCGCATGGCACTGGGGCGGCTTGAGCTCATACTAGAGTCGTAGGGGGTTAGAGTAGAATGCATTCATAATCATGCTGCGTCCCTTCCTAATTTGCCTGCTAGCTCGGCGCCCTAGTGCTGTGTGCTACCATCGCCTCCCTTTTCACAGCGTCAAAGTGCCACGTGCCACGTGATTTTTATCTTCAACATCCGTTTCCTCTACTGCCTCCTTGCATGCTTCTACTGACTACTTGGGTTCCTTTCCCCTGCTCTGTTTTCTTGCTCTCCTTCCCATCTCGACCGGTGCTATGGCAGCGTGGCACGGGGAGGGAGGGCGGTGGGATGACGCACGGTAGGCGGTCACAACGGTATGCGAGTCTCCTGGAAGCCTCACGCCACTGTCCTGCAAGCACCCCCATACGGCTAAGTTCCCTCTCCCTTCGCCCTTGCCATCCTTACCGCTTCTGCTTCGTGTTTATCATTGCCCACTTTTGTACCGCATTCTTCCGTCACCGCGTGCTCGAAACAAATGAGCCCATTTTCGAATGGGAGCGATCAAAAGTTGAGTGAGAGATGAGCGGCGTTTGGCGATGGTAGCGCATGGCACTGGGGCGGCTTGAGCTCATACTAGAGTCGTAGGGGGTTAGAGTAGAATGCATTCATAATCATGCTGCGTCCCTTCCTGATTTGCCTGCTAGCTTGGCGCCTTAGTGCTGTGTGCTACCATCGCCTCCCCTTTCACAGCGTCACAGTGCCACGTGCTTTTTATCTGTAACTTTCGTTTGCTCTACTGCCTCCTTGCATGCTTCTACTGACTACTTGGGTTCCTTTCCCCTGCTCTGTTTTCTTGCTCTCCTTCCCATCTCGACCGGTGCTATGGCAGCGTGGCACGGGAAGGGAGGGCGGCGGGATGATGCACGGCAGGCGGTCACAACGGTGTGCGAGCCTCCTGGAAGCCTCACGCCACTGTCCTGCAAGCACCCCCATACGGCTAAGTTCCCTCTCCCTTCGCCCTTGCCATCCTTACCGCTTCTGCTTCGTGTTTATGATTCCCACTTTTGTACCGCATTCTTCCGTCACCGCGTGCTCGAAACAAATGAGCCCATTTTCGAATGGGAGCGATCAAAAGTTGAGTGAGAGATGAGCGGCGTTTGGCGATGGTAGCGCATGGCACTGGGGCGGCTTGAGCTCATACTAGAGTCGTAGGGGGTTAGAGTAGAATGCATTCATAATCATGCTGCGTCCCTTCCTAATTTGCCTGCTAGCTCGGCGCCCTAGTGCTGTGTGCTACCATCGCCTCCCTTTTCACAGCGTCAAAGCGCCACGTGCCACGTGCTTTTTATCTTCAACATCCGTTTCCTCTACTGCCTCCTTGCATGCTTCTACTGACTACTTGGGTTCCTTTCCCCTGCTCTGTTTTCTTTCTCTCCTTCCCATCTCGACCGGTGCTATGGCAGCGTGGCACGGGGAGGGAGGGCGGTGGGATGACGCACGGTAGGCGGTCACAACGGTATGCGAGTCTCCTGGAAGCCTCACGCCACTGTCCTGCAAGCACCCCCATACGGCTAAGTTCCCTCTCCCTTCGCCCTTGCCATCCTTACCGCTTCTGCTTCGTGTTTATCATTGCCCACTTTTGTACCGCATTCTTCCGTCACCGCGTGCTCGAAACAAATGAGCCCATTTTCGAATGGGAGCGATCAAAAGTTGAGTGAGAGATGAGCGGCGTTTGGCGATGGTAGCGCATGGCACTGGGGCGGCTTGAGCTCATACTAGAGTCGTAGGGGGTTAGAGTAGAATGCATTCATAATCATGCTGCGTCCCTTCCTGATTTGCCTGCTAGCTTGGCGCCTTAGTGCTGTGTGCTACCATCGCCTCCCCTTTCACAGCGTCACAGTGCCACGTGCTTTTTATCTGTAACTTTCGTTTGCTCTACTGCCTCCTTGCATGCTTCTACTGACTACTTGGGTTCCTTTCCCCTGCTCTGTTTTCTTGCTCTCCTTCCCATCTCGACCGGTGCTATGGCAGCGTGGCACGGGAAGGGAGGGCGGCGGGATGATGCACGGCAGGCGGTCACAACGGTGTGCGAGCCTCCTGGAAGCCTCACGCCACTGTCCTGCAAGCACCCCCATACGGCTAAGTTCCCTCTCCCTTCGCCCTTGCCATCCTTACCGCTTCTGCTTCGTGTTTATCATTGCCCACTTTTGTACCGCATTCTTCCGTCACCGCGTGCTCGAAACAAATGAGCCTATTTTCGCCTGGTGAGGTGGGGATTGTGTTCGCCTGGTGGAACCAACTGGAGTAGCCAACTGCTGAAGAGCTCATCATTGTTTGTGAAGGTGAGAACAAAGCAACCGAACACAGACTGAATTTCATATCCTGTCCTATCCTATCATATCATATCATATCGTATTTGTACATTGTGTAGGTATCCAAATCATGTAAATCCTGTACCCCAATCGGACAACTCCCATGAATTCCTATCGTATTTCATTTCATCACATATTGAAGCTCAACTCTCGTCTGCCTTGCCGCCTCCTCTCGTCTGCTTGCAGGACAACCAGGTGCTTGCAAGACGGAAGATGAAGAACAAATATGCTAGAGTAGATATGCTATCTATCTAGACTAGTAACACTCTCAGGTGTGGTATCCTTCCCTCCCCCTCTCCCCCCCCCCCCCCCCCCCTCCTCCCACCCTCTCCTCCAACCCACCCACTCCCCATTACTCCATCCCCATCCCGTCCCCTCTCCTCCAAGCCCCCCTCCCCCTCACTGCGTTGCCCCTCCCCGTTCCTCCCTCTGCGACCTGCCTACCCCTGCAACCCATCTTCCTCTGCGACCTATCACCCCATGTGACCCACCTGCGTAGGCTAGGTTAGCCACAGGGCTAAGCATAGGGCTAATCACAGGGCTAACTACAGGGCTAACCGCAGGGCTAACTACAGGGCTAACCACAGGGCTAATTACAGGGCTAACTACAGGGCTAACTACAGGGCTAACTACAGGGCTAACTACAGGGCTAACTACAGGGCTAACTACAGGGCTAACTACAGGGGTATTCGCAGAGCTAATCGCAGGGGTAACCACAGGGCTTATCAGAAAGCTTGTGCCTCGTGTTAAGTACAGCGCTTGTGCCTCGTGGCACATAACAGTGATGATGCATGGGAGATTTATTCACAGGGCTTCTTGCCAGAACACTAACCACAGGCTTTCAGGATCTGAACATAGTGTCCACAAGGCAGGTGCATATGGACACTATTTCACAGGGTGTATGTAGGAGAGCATGCTAACCACAGGGCCAGTGCATAAGGCAGGTTAATTACAGGGCTAATTGCACGGGTAACCACAGGGCTCATCACAAGGCCAATCACAGAGCTAGCCGCAGGTGTAACCACAGAGCTAGCTGCTGGGGTAACCACAGAGCTAATCACAGAGCTTTTGCCTCGTGGCAAGCTAATCACGGGGCTTCTTTCCAGAACACTGACCACCACAGCCTTTTCAGGATCTGGAATCTGGATATACGGTAGTGTCCTCAAGGCATATCCATATGAGCACTTGTAACCACAGGGCCGGTGCATTAGGACAGGTTCCCACAGGGCCTGTACATCAAAGAAAGTGTGCTACGGTAATTATAGGGCTTGTGCAGCACATGTGCTTACGGGGCATGCGCATCAAATCAAATATGATAATCATGTGGCTCGTGAATCAATGCAACCAGAACTCCTGCTTCCTTGTTCTGGCAGATCCAAAGATGGTACCAGTATCGGGGACTGGCTGGCTAGCACTCTGCTTACAACCTAACGCCAATGCTGAACCTAGTAGATCCAAAACCTTGTAGCCCACCACCAGCACACTCAACTCCTGCAATGTTGTCAACTGTCAACTAGTGCACTACACTCTGACCCTAACCATTCCTCTCTCCGCCACTCATTCTGTCCCCTTGCCTCCCTCCGCTCACCCTCCTCCCTGCCCCCCATGTACAAATCTGCTGTCCAACTGCCGCCTTGCCTCCTCAGGGTCAGCAGCAGCCGCAGCATCAAACGAGTCACCCACATGAGCTGCTGAGGGCTCTGTGCCGCCTATGCGAGCCTCCTCCTCGCTCTCTGCCATGCGCCAGGTGTGGCAAATAATGGAAGGTCAAGGGAAAGGAGAAAGTCTGGCCACAGGTCGACAGGACTTGATGTGATGAGCCATGTGAGGGTCTGTGTGAAGAGGTGGGATTCGGGAACTAGATATGGCAGAGAATGGTAAATTAGGCGTCAGCGAATAGGAGTGGCTCATGCACAGAACGCAGACTAAACATGGTGGAAAAAGCTTGTCTGGAAAACGGGAAGCATAAACATCACGATTTGTGTGTAAGTTTAGAGTTGCAAGAATGATCCTAGCACGCGCCACGTCAGCACCTGCGAGTTCGGGATAGAGCTCGGCGTTGATGGATTCCTCGAGGTCCGTGGCGTCCATGGCCACGGGCAGCGGCGACGCGATGTCGTCCCGCGCGCCCAGCCCTCCCGCGCGCTCGATGTCCCACGCCGTCACGGGCGCTGTCATGTCGACTTCAACGCCCGCGTCTCGATCCTTCCCGGCCTCCTCCCGCTGCTGCAGCTCTAGCGGTTGTTGCTCCTGCACTTCTGCCATCGAAATCAGTTTCACCAGCGACGCGCCTGTACAAGAACGGAATAGGATGTGAACGAGTTACCTAGCCCCTGATTCATAGAAGACCGCTTCAAAAGAGGAGCTAAAACATTTCCGCCTCAAAATAGAGCACGCGCACGGATATGCATGCCGCATTCCAGAATGGTCAACGCGCCACGGATGCATGCGGTCTCCGAATATATGGTGGCGAGAGCAAGCAAGTAGTTATGACGTGTGTGCATACAGCGGGGTTGGTCATCAATGCGGGTTCCGAACACATTTAGCAAATAGTTTGAGCTGTGAAAGCAATAGGGAAAACACTGCAATACACTCTGCTAGTGGCTTCACAGTAAAAGCCCATACTCTCTCAGCTGTCCTATTTCCAACATCACTTCATTACCATAAAAAGTTGGTTCAAGAGGAAAGTACTACAACTAGGCAAACACCAACTGTTTCGTGCGTGCTCCTAAAAAACCACTAGAATCTGCACACTACTCTGTAGACATGGCCCATGGGTATATTCACTGAAATACAGGCACTCAATAGCCAGGCTAGTAGCAATTATAGTGCCCGTTATTACACCTCATGACCAAGTTGGTGGTAGTGGCGGTTCATGTAAATGAGGGGATGAAAATCATGTGCACTAGTGGCCACCACCTGCAGATTCAGGCAGAGAAACATGTAAGCTAAGTCACTGAGTGGTCAAATTAGCAAAACAAAAATTGTAGTGCTCTTGGCATGGCCATGCTCTGATGTAAACCGATCTGGATGCACGCATATCAAGTCGCAGAATAGCTCACCTCTCCAACAAGGATGATGTGGTCGCCTGCATCAAAGGTCATTTTGCGGTAGCAAACAAGCGCTGCCATGCTCTCCTGCAACACTGGCACGCCCTTCACTGCATCAGGATCCTGCTCCCCCTCAGGGTGGTTCGGAGGTACTTCACTCATGTAGTCGCGGAGTGACACCAGTTCCCATGGACCCGCAGCCCTTTTGAACAAAAGGGGGAAGAGATGAGAGGGGACTTGGCCGGAATGGAAAAACCACAAGAGTTTCTGGAGGTTGCTTGTGCCGGAATATACAGCGAGCAACAAAAAGTCAGTGACAGCCAAAGCTGATGAGATACGGCTAGATTAAGGCTCTTAAACCAGTTGCGTTGGGGTCGAGTTTGCGTGCAAGTGCAATCAGGACAACTCAAAGCCCGATGGAAAACAGGGACTTACTCATTGAAAGGTCCTTTTCCTGTGTCATGCTGCAATCAACCACATACCAGCAGAACCAAATTTCACCACATCCACACGGACAGAAAGAAGTGAGCACAAAGGCAAACAATGAATGGCGGAACCAAGTCTTCGGTGAGTGGGCCATCACAATCATTGTTATGAGAGAGAAGCGTCACCAACATCTTCAAAATCACAAGTCGAACCTCAACGGTTGAAACTCGATAAGCATCGGAATTAAACATGCAAAGAAGGGCCTTACACGCAGAGGAGTGAACCTTCCGTGAACAGGAAGGGCATTACTCACAGGCTTCGCAAAGTCACCAGCCTTCTGCTTGTTCTCCTCATTCAACAGATGCACGCCAAATCCAGTTGACCTCTCCAGCACCTGCACACAGAGCGGGTCCACTGTAAAGCTTGCCCCGACTACCTCAGACGAAAAGTGCAAAGTCAGAAATCAAACTGGCTGCTTTCACCCAGAGTTTTCAAGGGACAGACCTGCATCATGAGAGAGTTCTTGCGAAGGCACACCGAGATAAACGGCGGCTCCAAGGATACGCTGGAAGCACAGGGAATAACAAGGAAATGGGGACGAATACGAGCTGTGCAGATACCAATTATTTATTTCCCGTGACTAAGGGGGAAGGGATTTTGTGAAGGTGCAGGACGGAGAGGCATGAAGGAGGAAATCGCTAATATTACTGAGAACGAGAAGAACCAATGCAGAATTGTCGGCTGTGAATCAATGCAGAATATAACTTCCAAAAATTCCGTGAAAAAAAGGTACTGATGTGCAGGAATGCAACCGTCTGGGATGTAACCGTGTACTACGATCATTTGTAAGTTTCGACATTCGAATCGAGAACTCGGAAAAGATATCCCAAGCGTGGTAAACTGATGTCCGTGCTTTCTTTATAGCGTAGATGAATTCAGCCGCAGTATTGCAGCAGTAACAAGCGGAATTGCAATAGAGTCCTTATTAAGGCACAGGATATAAAGCGGCAAGCGGAAAGCAAGGCCATTGATGATGAATCCGCACCTTGTGAAGCTGCTGCATGTCATTCCTCTAACTTGCAAGTTGTCGTCGTTAGCATCACCATAAGCTGCAGTGATGATGACTACAGGAGCTGGAATATGACGCAGGATTTCCAGCATCGATTCTTTCTCGAACTTCCGGACAACTGGCTCGGAACCCATGGCGCAGGTCTGTGCTCCAGAAATGTTCAAACCGTCTATAAGTTGAGTACTGAGAGCAGCGTGCGTGGAAAAGCTAGGAAGCAAGATTAGGATCCAACAGACTAGGGAAGAAAACAAGAAGCCAAGGCATAAACGCCGATGGATGACGAATTTATATCCAGGGACCACAGCAGGAAACATTCATGCATGTTTTGCTCTGGCTCCAGAGCATCCACCCTATTCGGCGTATCGGCTTCACCTGCTTTGCACATCATCATTCATGTTCACCCCCTCTTGGTCAGACGCTACCAACGCTGCTTGGCTGGCTAGGCAAATAGGGGGCAGCGGCGCGGACAAAGTTCGAGGTGGCATCAGAATGCCACGTGGTTCGCACATTCCCCCTTGTGGCATCGATTGCCCAAACAAAATGTGATTCCTGTGCTGACTACGGGGGAAGAAAGATGCCATGGCAAAGGAGGGCAGACGCGGACCCCAGTTTCACATTTCCAGCATCGGCGCGTTGTGGGGAGGAATGCAGGCGTAGGAGAGCACGGGGCGTGGGATGGATTCCTCTGACGATGAAGTGAGGAGGAGGGGGTGCGGGCAAGGACGCGGTCTGAGCTGGAGCCGAAAGGTTCCCTCCGACTCCTGGGATCTAGGGTAATTGGGATCCACGTCTTCAATGGCCCTCGAAATCAGTTCACACGTGGAAACAAGAAATGATATTTCCCTCCACCGACAGTTCTGTTGGGCTATTCGTTACACTACAATGTCAGCTGGTCTGCAGTAGGTATCTCTATACGTGGGTAGTTTGCTCATTAAGCCTTTTCTGCATGTAATGTCTAGTGGCCTTAATTTTTGCTGCATTTCAAAATTTTAGTTTTTTGATCTTTATTTTTACATGTAAAAAATGAAGGTCGTCACTTATTTTCGATTATATTTCATCCATACAATTTTTTTTGTATATACACGGCGAAGTTGTTTAGATCGAGCTGTACTCATCTTTCCCTATGTGGATGAGCCAAGCCCGCTGCAGTGACGACCAGCGAGCGAGACCGATTTGGTTCAGCCATTCACTGCCCAAGGCAGAGGCTCAAGCCCAGAGCCTAGCTTCAAGCTTCTACAGTATTCGCTTTGCTCAAATCGCATCGCATCCTAACAGCAATGCGCCTGTTTCGACGATTGGTTAACAGCGAAAACTGGGTTAAACTAAAGAATTCGGTCATTGGGCACCTCTGATCATGACCAGGGGTCGACTCTTGTTATAGTCTGTACTGCGGTCATGGCTGTCGCGCTCGGAGGCATCCATGGCGCACCAGGAAGCGCATGGTTGCATGCTTTATCGACGGGGCGCGTATCCCGCCATCTTCCGAGCGCAGTCTCCCTGACTCGCGCTTCAGTTGGGCTGCGCAATCGCACTCACGTGCGTGCCCCGTCCTCCTCTCTTGGCCCCCTGGGCGGAGCTTGGCTGGCGAGAAGAGCGCAGAGAACCGCGGAAGGCGGAAGGCTGAGGCGGAATTTGCGGAGCGTGCTGACAGATACAGCGGGAGGATCAGGAGGGGTCGGGGGAAGCGGAGAGGGGAATGGAGGGGGGAGCGGAGGAGGAAGTGGGGGAGGAGGAGAGGGGGCAGATGAGGGAAAAGATGAAGGGGATGAAACGACACACTTGTTGCGGCATATTCTTCTGGCGCTGACCGCTATACTCGAGGACGCGTCTGCATTGCTGTCACGTGGGCTGTCGATCTTACACACATTCTCAGTCGCACTCGTTGAACGCTTTCACAGCTGCATATTCACCCTCATTGCACATGCATCACAATTACTCCGACTGCACGCTCTCCCCTCCTCCCCGTCCCCCCTCCACCACCATCGCCCCTCGCTCCTCCTCCCCCTGCTCCTCGCCCCCCTCCTCGCGCTCCTCTCCCCCTTCCCCTGCGCCTCCGCGTCCCTCATCCCGCTCGCGCGCCTCAGCACGTCCCGCACGTACCGCTGCCTCGAGCTCACCGTGCAGGACGAATCCGGCCACCCGCTGCCGCCCTCCGCTGACGTGTACGACGCGTTTGCCGTGCAGCCAGGCGACGTGTTCGTGCGAAGGGACGTGGAAGACGCGGTGCAGCACCTGCTCAGCCTCGGATGGTTCTCCCACGCCGAAGTCTCCTGTCGCCCGCAGCGCTCCGGGTGGACCTACCTGCAGCTCACCGTTAAAGACATGCACTACCCCCCGGCTACTATTGCGAAATGCGTCAACGTGGGAGTGTCCGCACAGGAGGGGGCGGGCGGGGGAGAGGCAGGAGGACGGCCAGCAGGAGCAGCAGCAGCGGGGGCGCGCAAGTGCCTGTTGCCTGAGAGCGAGGAGCGGGAGCTGTCGAGATGGCTGTCCCGCCAGGGCCCCTCGCTCTCCCAGCCGCTCCTGCAGCAGCTCGCAGCGAGGATAGAGGAGTGGTACGCCAGCAAGGGCTATGTCCTGGCCCGAGTCAGAAGCTTCGTGCCGCCAGGGAAAGGGGGAGCGGAAGGGGGGAAGGGAGGAGGGGGCGAGGTGGTGTGTCATGTGGTGGAGGGGGATGTGACGCGCGTGCAGGTGCGGTTTGTGGACGCGGCGGGGAACACTGTCAAGGGGCGCACGTCACTGGCACTGCTGCACCACGTGCTGCCCACCGAGGTAGGTAAGTGCGTGCGTGCTCGCATGTGCCATGCTGTGGTCGCCAACACAGACGCACCCCTCTTGCTCCCCCTCGCCCTTTCCCACTGTGAGCATCAAATCAAATCAAATCAAATCAGATCAAACCAGATTCCTCGGTTTCACTTTCACCCACAGCCCAGGTCCTTTCTCCCGAAACAGCTAGACCACGAGCAAGTCTTTCCTCTTTTTCCTCCTTCCCTCCTTTCTCCCTTCAGCTGCGGCCAGGGGTGGTGTACAACGCATGGCTGGGGCGGGAGGTGGTGCGAGCCCTGTACCGGCTGTCACTGTTTGAGTCGGTGCAGGTGCACCTGCGACCGGACGAGACACGGGGCCAGCACGGGGGCGTGGTGGTGGACGTGGAGGTGCGCGAGCGACGAATGGCTGCTGCCACTGCTGACGCTGACTGGCACTTCGCTGTGCCACCCAACGGGTGGTTCCCACGCCTGGTACTGCTGCCTGCTGCTGCCCTGGCAGGGATACGCTTGCGTGGGATGTGTGCGTCGTGCTATGCCGTAGCAGAATCACAAATCCTTGTGGCTTGTGGTAGGTGAAATGTGAAACGCGGCACGCCACATGCCATATGCACATGGGTTAAGACTCTAACATCTTTCGGTGCCATGTGCCATGTGTGACTGCCATGCGCGCAGGACTCCATCTTTCCCGGGTGTCGAGTGCATGTGGAGCAGCACGGGTTGGGGGGCATGAACCGCTCGCTCTACCTCGACGTCTCCACTCACAACATCATGTACCCCCAGGTGCACCTCGCTCTCTCTCTAATGGCCCTTTCATTGATAGATAAGGTGAACAAATACCCACCCCTTCCTCCGCTCGTGCCCTGCCTGCCTGCCTGCCTGCCTGCCTGCCTTGTCCTCTCTACACCTTACTCCCTCATATCATCCCCCGTTTCCCCCCGTCTCCGCCTCCTCCCTCCCTAAACCCGATGACCTTCCCCCTTTCCTCCCTGACACCTAAATCCTCCATCCCTACTTCCGCCCCTCCCTCCTCTTACTCTTAACCGCGCACACCCCTCCGTCCCCAGGACGACCTCTCACTGAAGCTAGAATACATCCATCCTTTCCTCGACGGCGTTCCCCCACCGCCCCTCCACGCCCTCTCCCCATCCTCCACCTCTCCCTCTCGCGCAACCACCGCCCCCACACATCCCCACTGCCCGCGCAACCCGCGCACACTGAGAGCAGCGCTGTTCAACTCGCGGCGCCTGTCGTCCGCGCTGGCCTTCCAGGGCCCCACCGCACCGCTCGCCCTTGCCCTTGACGTGGGGCCGCTCTGGGTGGACCGCACAGGGGGGAAGGTCTCGCTCACTGAGGTATGCCCGCCTGGGACGCCGTGGGAACAGCAGGGGAACTGTGGGAGTGGGAGCGAGATGCGCTGCTTCACGCATGGCTGCTGTGTTATCTGGTGTCATGAGGCGTGATCCTTCTTCCTTTCTGCAACTGTCCCAACCCACAACCCCCCCCCACCCCCCCCCCCCCACCCTCCCTCTCTCGGGTGCATGATGTCAGGAGGTGACGAGGCAGAGCAGCAGCAGCACGGCGCTGGTGTTCCAGGAGGTGTGTGTACGTGATGAGAACGCTGCCATTGTGCCACGCGTCTCACCCTTCCGCCACTCCCTCGCTGCCCCGCCTGCCACCTCTGCTGCTGCTGCCGTCGCTGCTGCAGCTGGGGGCATGGCTCCACTTGCCACCTCCTCTACTACCTCGTCTCTCCCTGCTGCAATTTCTGACGGTGGCGTGAATAATCAGGGGACCGGGAGCAATAACAGCAGCGGTGGCATGCGGAGAGGGGGGTTAGGCAGTGTGGAGACAAGTGTGAGTGGACACGGCATAGACCACCAACTCACACTACAGCATGTCGTGACAAGAGATGCCACCCGGCGCGTGCACGGCACGCAAGTGGGCGCGCGGGATATCTTCCACGTGGAGCAGGCACTACTGCCCTTCACCTCTCTCCCCTTCTTCAACCGCTACACCATCTCCTGCACGCGCTTCCTCCCTCTCGAAACCGTCTATTACGCTCTCTTCCCCTCGCCCGCGCGGGAACTGCGCTTGCGGCGGCGCCCGCCCCCGCCTGCACGCTCAGCACCATGCACGCTGGTGCTGCATGCGCGGCACGGTGTGGTTGTGGGCGACCTGGCAGCGGTGGACGCGTTTCAGCTGGGGGGAGCGCACTCCGTGCGGGGCTTTGAGCATGGCGAGCTGGCCACGTGCAGGCGGTTCCTTGAGGTGCGTGTGGGCTGTGGCGTGAAGTCAGGTGCCAACCATGGCCGACTTGCACAATGGTGGTTCCATCCCATCCTGTCTTCGTTGTTCCCTGCTTCCTCAGCTCTTTCCTCTGCCCTTCCCCGCCTGGCTTTGGCACTCCTCTTCCCCACTGCAGTATTTTCAACCCCATCCTCAATGCAAGCATGCAGGCCGGTGCACCTCCATGCACTCTCCCCCTGCCCATGCTTCACCTGCCCTGTGCCAGTGCGCCCCGCTCGCTCTCTCCGCCCTCACCCCTTCCACCATAAACCCTTCTCATCCCACCCCTACCCCCTCCCATGCCGCCCCTGCCCCTTGCGTCTGCAGCTGAGCACGGAGCTACGAGTGCCGGTGCGAGCGCTGCACGTCTACTCCTTCCTGGACTGGGCCTCCGACCTCGCGTCCTCCGCCGCTGTCCCCGGCAACCCCTCCGCGCTCTTTGTCAAGCCCGGCGGCGGGTGGTCGTGTGGTGTGGGTGCGCAGTTTGGGCTCATGCGCGTGGAGATGGCCAGGGATGGGCTGTCCGGGAGGACAGACGTTGCCTGCTACTTTGGAGACCGGTACTAGGAGGACGAGGAGGAGGAGCTTTGAGACGACGCAAAGGTTTGGGCTAGAAATACAGTGAATACTAATTTTTTTTCCCATTTCCTTTAAATTACACCATTCCCCACCCCCATACCAGGTTTTAACCTTTGGAATCTATGTAGTTTGGCATATGTATGCTGGTACCTGCACTACGGGCACGCATGTCGACCATACTGACAAGCGCATTACCGTCATCGCCCGGATATAAGACATATATGTCTTATCTCGTACACGGGCAAAAATGCTTGAGTTATCTTGTAAACGGGATGCTTTAGGGTGTCTTATAAATCTTATAAATGGAAACTTTTTAAACTACTTAGAAATATTTTCCGTACTTCTTGAAAAAGAGTTCCTCATAATGAGTGTGGATGTTGCGAAGGTGCCACTTCGGCAACCACTGCCCGGGACGCCACGTCATGGAGAACACCTGCAGAGGCAAATTTGGTAGGTCCTGGGTCAGCGCGTGGAGAAATTCGCGCTTCGCAAGGGTACACATGTACGCGTTATTTCAACTTTCGCTATAATATATTGAAGTTTCGATTATAAGACATATATGTCTTATCTCGTACACACAAATAGGTGTCTTATAATGAGGCTAGCCTGTTTATAAGAGACACCCGTATAGTAGACAACCCCTGTCTACTATTCAACACTGTCTTATATCCGGGCGTTTACGGTATGTATGTTTATAGAGATGCAATTAGTACCATTTTCTTGCTAGTCTACTAGATTAGGCCTTATAATTCAACACCACTAGGTTTTCACCTTTCGGATCCACAAAATTTGGGAGATTTTAGACTTCCAACTCCGCTTTGTACCTCCACACAAGCGTGCGTACTGGCCACCAACGCATTATTTTCACTGTAGAAACATAAAAAATAATATTTGTTTTCCCATGTCCGATAAATTGCACCATTCCCCACCCCCATACCAGGTTTTAACCTTTGGAATCTATGTAATTTGGCATATGTATGCATTCCAGTCGTACATGGTACCTGCACTACGGGCACGCATGTCGACCATACTGACAAGCGCATTATGTATGTTTATAGAGATGCAATTAGTACCATTTTCTTGCTAGTCTACTAGATTAGGCCTTCTACTTCAACACCACTAGGTTTTAACCTTTCGGATCCACATCTTTTGGGAGATTTCAGAGTTCCAACTCCGCTTTGTACCTCCACACAAGCGTGCGTACTGGCCAAACCGACCAACGCATTATTTTCACTGTAGAAACATAGAGAATAATATTTGTTTTCCCATTTCCTTTAAATTGCAACATTCTCCACCCACATGCCAGGTTTTAACCTTTGGAATCTATGTAATCTAGCATATATAGGCATTCCAGTCGTACATGGTACCTGCACTACGGGCACGCATGTCGATCATACTGACAAGCGCACTATGTATGTTTGTAGAGATGCAATTAGTACCATTTTCTTGCCAGTCTACTAGATTAGGCCTTCTACTTCAACACCACTAGGTTTTAACCTTTTGGATCCACATAATTTGAGAGATTTCAGAGTTTCAGCTCCGCCTTGTACCTACACACAAGCGTGCATACTGGCCGAACCGACCAACGCATTATTCTCACTGTAGAAATACAGTGAATACTATATTTTTTTCCATGTCCTTTAAATTGCACCATTCCCCACCCACATACCAGGTTTTAACCTTTGGAATCTATGTAATTTGGCATATGTATGCATTCCAGTCGTACATGGTACCTGCACTACGGGCACGCATATTGACCATACATTGCACTATGTATGTTTGAAGAGATGCAATTAGTACCATTTTCTTGCCAGTCTACTAGATTAGGCCTTCTACTTCAACACCACTAGGTTTTAACATTTCGAATTCACATGATTTGGGAGATTTCAGAGTTTCAGCTCCGCCTTGTACCTACACACAAGCGTACATACTGGCCGAACGCATTATTCTCACTATAAAAATACAGTGAATACTATTATTTTCCCATTTCCTTTAAATTACACCATTCCCCACCCCCATACCAGGTTTTAACCTTTGGAATCTATGTAATTTGGCATATGTATGCATTCTAGTCGTACATGGTACCTGCACTACGGGCACGCATGTCGATCATACTGACAAGCGCATTATGTATGTTTGTAGAGATGCAATTAGTACCATTTTCTTGCTAGTCTACTAGATTAGGCCTTATAATTCAACACCACTAGGTTTTAACCTTTCGGATCCACATAATTTGGGAGATTTCAGAGTTCCAACTCCGCTTTGTACTTCTATACAAGTGTGCGTACTGGCCAAACCGACCAACGCATTATTTTCACTGTAGAAACATAGAGAATATTATTTTTTTTTCCCATTTCCTTTAAATTGCAACATTCTCCACCCACATACCAGGTTTTAACCTTTGGAATCTATGTAATCTAGCATATATAGGCATTCCAGTCGTACATGGTACCTGCACTACGGGCACGCATGTCGACCATACTAACAAGTGCATTATGTATGTTTATAGAGATGCAATTAGTACCATTTTCTTGCTAGTCTACTAGATTAGGCCTTCTACTTCAACACCACTAGGTTTTAACCTTTCGGATCCACATAATTTGGGAGATTTCAGAGTTCCAGCTCCGCCTTGTACCTACACACAAGCGTGCATACTGGCCGAACCGACCAACGCATTATTTTCACTGTAGAAACATAGAGAATACCATATATTTTCCCATTTCCTTTAAATTGCAACATTCCCCACCCCCATACCAGGTTTTAACCTTTGGAATCTATGTAATCTAGCATATATAGGCATTCCAGTCGTACATGGTACCTGCACTACGGGCACGCATGTCGACCATACTGACAAGCGCATTATGTATGTTTATAGAGATGCAATTAGTACCATTTTCTTGCTAGTCTACTAGATTAGGCCTTCTACTTCAACACCACTAGGTTTTAACCTTTCGGATCCACATAATTTGGGAGATTTCAGAGTTTTAACTCCGCTTTGTACCTCCACACAAGCGTGCGTACAAGCCAAACCGACCAACGCATTATTTTCACTGTAGAAACATAGAGAATAATATTTTTTTCCCATTTCCTTTAAATTGCAACATTCCCCACCCACATACCAGATTTTAATCTTTGGAATCTATGTAATCTAGCATATATAGGCATTGCAGTCGTACATAATACCTGCACTACGGGCTCGCATGTCGACCATACTGACAAACGCATTATGCATGTTTAAAGAGATGCAATTAGTACCATTTTCTTGCTAGTCTACTAGATTAGGCCTTCTACTTCAACACCACTAGGTTTTAACCTTTCGGATCCACATAATTTGGGAGATTTCAGAGTTCCAGCTCCGCCTTGTACCTACACACAAGCGTGCATACTGGCCGAACCGACCAACGCATTATTTTCACTGTAGAAACATAGAGAATACCATATATTTTCCCATTTCCTTTAAATTACACCATTCCCCACCCCCATACCAGGTTTTAACCTTTGGAATCTATGTAATTTGGCATATGTAGGCATTCTAGTCGTACATGGTACCTGCACTACGGGCACGCATGTCGATCATACTGACAAGCGCACTATGTATGTTTGTAGAGATGCAATTAGTACCATTTTCTTGCCAGTCTACTAGATTAGGCTTTCAACTTCAACACCACTAGGTTTTAACCTTTCGGATCCACGTAATTTGAGATATTTCAGAGTTCTAGCTCCGCCTTGTACCTACACACAAGCGTGCATACTGACCGTGTCGGAATCAACAGACAGGAATGACTGTACTAGCACAAAGTTTGATACAAGTAGGAAACCCTAATCTAGTGTACCCCCTAAGGTGTAACCCACTACAGCCTACAATCATATAAACATATAATGTTTGACCATAGGCGCAGTGGGAGACAACCACAGGGTCACGAGACCAGTCAAAGCAAAGAAAGGCAAGCTCAGGGTGGATCTCAAGGATTCCACACAAATTCCGAGCACAAGCAAGCGGTCACAAGACCAGTCCACATGCAGGTTTATAATAGAGCAAGAGATACAGTGATCACAACCTAGCAAGAGTGAACATGCAGGTATATATATATATATATATATAGTGATCACAGTACAAGCAAGGTCAAGAAGTAAGCAAATGAGGTCCAGTAGGCACAAGGCTTAGCAGAGTGCAGAGGCGCTGATGGTCACAAGGCTGAAGCGCCTTGGTGAACACATCAGCAGTGTTGGCCTCAGTGGCCACGTAACGAATACAAAGCTGACCGCGCTGCTGCAGCTCTCGAGCAAGGAAGTACCGCAGGGCGATGTGCTTCGTTCTGTGCTCCAGTCTGTGCTCCTCACACAAGGCAATGGCAGCCTTGTTGTCGACGTACAGCACTGGAGGAGAACGAGGCCGCTCTCCCAGGTCGGTCAGCAGGTAGGTCAGCCAGCGTAGCTCCTGGGCAGCCATGGCTGTGGCGTAGATCTCAGCCTCACAACTGGAGCTGAGAACAGAAGAAGAGCGTGTAGAACGCCAAGAAACTGAGCCAGAGCCAAGGCTGAAGGTGTAACCCTGAGACGACCGCTGAGTAGCCTGGTCGTCAGCCCAAGAGGCGTCTGAGTGTCCTGTGAGTACAACTCGGTCTCGCCCTCCAAGCACTAGCCCCATGCCCGACGTACTGCACAAGTAGCGCAACACCCTCTTAGCGGCATCCATGTGCTCCTTCCTGTGACGGCCAGGAGCGACATAGCGTGCAAGGATGCTAAGAGGGTATGCCAGGTCAGGTCGAGTGCAGGTCATCAGGTACATGAGACAGCCCACAAGCTCTGGATACGGGCCACTCGGCTCTACGGACTCATCCGAAGGCAGAGCTGAGAGCGAGTGACCGGTAGGCAGAGGAGTGGACTGAGGCGAGGAGTACGTGAAGCGGAAGCGCTGAAGGATCTGCTGCACCATGTGTGACTGAGTCAAGGTGATGGTGCGCCGTGCTCTGTCCCGGGTGATCCGC